AAAGTTGAGTAAAAAGCAGTGCAAAGTCAAATGCAGCAACCAAGGCAAATCAGATCCTGGGCTGCATCCACAGGGGCGTTACTAGCTTAGATAGAGATGTGATCATCCCACTCTGCTCAGCACTTGTCAGGCCGCACCAGGAGTACTGTGTCCACTTCTGGTCCCCACAATTCAAAAAAGACATGGACAGACTGGAGAGGGTCCAAAGAATGGCTACAAAGATGATCAAAGGGCTGGAGAACCTGCTCTGTGAGGAAAGACTGAAGGAGTTAGGTCTCTTCTCCCTGGAGAAGAGAAGGCTTGGGGGGACTTCACACAGTATTCCAGCAGATGAAGGGCAGCTACAAGGAGGACGGAGGTTCTCTCTTCACAAGGAGCCACATGGAGAAGACAAGGGGCAACGGGTACAAGTTGCACCAGGAGCAGTTTCATCTCGAAATAAGAATTTTTTACAGTGAGAACAATCATCCACTGGAACAACCTCCCCAGGGACGTGCTGGAGGTTTTCAAGATGCAATTAGACAGGGTGCTAGATAATCTGATCTAGCGTCCCTTTCCCATGAAAGGTTGGACCAGGTGATCTTTCGAGGTCCTTCCAACCTGGGCTGTTCTATGATTTTATGATTCAGTGATTCACTTTGTCCATCAGGTCCTTTAATGGCCAGCTGTCAGAGAGGGACCTTCTCTGCCACCTGTTTGCTCAAGCTGGGGAAGGACTGCAAGGTGGATGGGCAGAGAAGAGATTTGAAGGGTGTTCAGATTGCACAAGCACTCCAACTGCGGACGGCCAGGTCCCCACCAGCCCTTGGTCCCCCTCTGCCTCGTTAGGATTTTCTTAGGAGCGTGATTCGTAGCTTTGTGGAGGCCAGCAGATGGACTGGACAAGCAGCAGCGGCAGCGGGGAGATAGTCACAGCGTGATCCTCTGACACCGCTCACGGTTTGGGCAAAGAAGGATGCCCTGGCACCTCGGGTGACTTGGCTGCAGGGCTATAGGTGAAGCCTCTCTAGTAAACCACAGTAATTACCCAGGGAGTAGAAAGCAGGGTCGTTAGCCTGCGGGGTAATAATTTGCAAAATGCTGAAACGTGTTTTCCTGGAAGGAGTGGATGAAGTGACCTCCATTTTGATACCGATTACCATCACTCGGGGCGTGCTGCTGGAGAGACGGGGGTCCGGCTGCTCCTTAGCTGGGGAGGTGGCTGACCCCGAAGCTGCCAGAGGTTTTGTGTCCCCGTGGCGAGGCTCTGTGGCACGGAGCTTCCTTCCTTCCCAGGCTCTGACAGCCTGTAATCATTTTATCTCTCAGGATTAATGGCACCGAGCAATAAACTCGCATCCTAATTATTGTAATTATTTCTTTCTTTGTACGTCAGCCTTGGTAACGATGTTTTTACAGCTGATGGGATGGAAGGGAGGGGAGCAAAGAAATATTGGCACAGGAATGAAGAGAGAGCAATGAGCATACTCCTTTCCACTCACTTTCCTCAAGGTTTTAGAGCCCACTTGAGTTTCCTATTCCCCGAGGTCCCAGAAATTATCAGTGATTGTCCTAATACTGCAAAGTAGCAGCAATCTAGGCCTAAATTCCTAATTGATCTTAAGTACCTACCTCCCACTTTAGCCCCGGAGATGCCTGAATGTCTCCGAAGTCCCCTGCACACGTAAGTACCCGCTGCATACTCAGAACTGCCTATTTCTTTATAGCCTGAGTAGCTCACTGTTTTTCTTAACCTCAGGCATGACTCACAAGCTAAGCATTATGCCAGTCTTATCTATGGGAATTGCATACGGAGGGGGCAGAAGCTACTCTAATCACCATTTAAAATTCATACAGTCTTTCAGAGGGTGGAATTCAGCATCCATTTCTTCCCCAACGCATTAGCACCGTGATGGGAGGCCACAGTCTTGAGCTGCTTGCCTCAGCCGCCGGCCATGAATTTCTGTCAGCGCAGTAGGTAGCCCAGGTGCTGGAGAACAAGAGCAACGTTTGCCCACGCACTGTAAGCCCTCGTCCAGAGCATGGGTGGGGAGGAACCTGGACCCAGGGAGGTGCGCTTGGCTGCTCTACGGTGGTAGCAGCTCTGGCTTAGAGCAGCTGCTACTGAACATGCCACAGAGGAGACTTCACTCGAAGAAATGTGGGCAGCTAAGTAAGATACTACACAGGAATTTGTAAAGCACCCACGTCCCCGTTTAGAGACCTAACACTAGATGCCCGAGGGGATTCAGCTATGCAGCACACAGCCAGCTAGGAAGGGCTGGTGGTTGCTTGGCTCCTGTTCCCAGGGTCACCTACAGCGTAGATGGAAAGGTCTCCGCACAGAGTCCTCCCTCTCTCCATCCCCTTCTTCCCATCCAGATCAAAAGCTCCGCGCAGAGCAGTCTCATCAGGTAACAAGCAGTAAGCATCAGACAGGCCCTGTATACACGTGGTAACAGCCACGGAGGTCCTCTTCTCCTGTGCTGGTGTGAGGTACTGTCATCTACACCAGCGTGTCCGCACCAGTAAATTAAACCTTCGCTGAAGCCATTCATAGGCAGTGGACCATGATCATCAACGCTGATGGAACGAGCCCCGGGCTCCATGCTCCACACTAGCATTTCTTTTAATTACCCACTACTGATCATTCTGCAGCAAGGTCTTTCTTGGGCATCTTTTCTTCTTTGTTTGGGAGTTTGTTTGGTTTTTCCCACTTCAGCCAACAAAATTGCTGAATTAATCCACTTGCCTTTTTTTTTTTTTTTTTTTTTTGGTCAAGTTTTGTGTAGGGGTACTTCTTTAATGGCTGATCAGCATTTCATTAGAGAACCAAGGCAGCAAAGCTACTCTGTACCACAGTCCATCTCTGACACTGGACCCTCTTCCCCCGGGCATATCCCAATTCAAATAAGCTTCCATCTCCTTCACTATTAAGAAAACAAAGTGAAACACAATCAGCAACCACTACGCCCTCCCCATGCCATATTTTGCAAGCCATAATTCCCAGCCTGTCTTGCTTTTAAACACTACCTTGCTCCAATACAGAGATGGGCTTCCCACCCGCAACAAATATCTTAGTCCTAAACCATGGTTTAATTTGCAGGTTTATCTGATTTACTGGGTCAGCTGGTCCTGCCATCTCCGCTCCCTCCTGGCCGTAGGGGCCCGAGCCCACCCTTTGGAGGTGGGCTTGTTCTCTTTCAGAGCCATCTTTTGGGATGACACTTGCTTTACTCAAGTCCTTGTTCTTCCCCATTTCTCCCTGACGTTTCAAAAATAATTACCAGTGGTTCAGTAAGTTCATTAGCAAACTCCCTTAGGACCCTGGGCTATGTATCATCCAGCCCTGCTGATTTGTGGATAGGCTCTAATCAAGTGTTTCAAGTCTCGCTCTCCTTCCTCCTCCTTTCAGATTAACAGTTATTTTGACAAGATTCTCATTATTTCCTATTTCCTGGCGGTACCCAGGGACTAGGCTTATTTGAGTCCTCACTGTTGTCATTGTGGGTTTATTTTTAACCTCGGGCTCTGCTTCTCCACAAGGACATCAGGGTTTTGTGTTCTTCAGAAACACGTGGTTTTGTCGGTGCCATTTTAGTCTCAGTTCATCCTGGGTCTTCCAGCGCTCTCTGTCTTTTGCCTTTAACACTTTTCATTCTTCTTCTTTCCTCTGCTCCAAAATTAGCTAAAGAAATAACGTAGCTTTCACCAAGCCTACAGGGTTACTACCCTTCTCCAGCTTCTTAGACCTAGGCCACCTCCTTGGCTGCAATTAATTTGTCTTCCCCTCCCTCTTTTTCTCCCTGCTGTCCTCTGGCGTGCACACACTTGCCAAGTCTGCCTTCTCCTTCCTGGCTGCTCTTGGAAGGGACCCAGCCACCAGAAAAACCACTGCCAGCCCCATCATCTTCACAACATCTTTAAATATTTATTGGGGGCCAAACTCAGGCTTCCTGGCAGATGAAAAGCAGAGCCACCCCCGCTTTTGGGGAAGGCAGCATGGAGACCACAGCAGCCCTGCATAGGTTTTTCCCACCCGGCTCCCTCTGTCATCCCTCTGCCCTTTCAGATACGCACATGGGAGTCCAGCCCCTCGTTACCCATCTTCATTAGCCCAAAGCGAGTGTCATGCCCTGCGCACGATTGCTGGAGAGGCCGAGGGGTTAAGTGGAAGGAGGGAGGAGGAAGAGATGAGGCCGAAGGGCAATTTTTCTTTCAAATACCTCTCACACCTATGTGCCATCCCTCCTATCCAGAGCCTACAGGCCACAGGATTAGCCCAGCCTCATTATCCTTGATTTGCAAGAGATGTCTGAAGTCGAACACTTTCATTTTTAAAAAGCAGTAAGTTTTTTTGTCTTCTTCAGAGGCCAGCATATAGCTCGTATAGCTCCCCTGCCAGTCCCTCAGCTGCAAGTCCCCAGCCATCAGATTTGTGTGCCCCGGGCGGGCTCTCCACACTGCTGGGCGGGCAAGCAGGACAAGTCCGGGACAAGCAGGACAAGCAGGCCTCCGGGCTCCCACAGCAGAGCACGACCGTGGAAGGGGCTGAAGCAACAGAGCATTTTTGGAGGTTTTTTCCCCCTGCCTTTGCAGCATTCATTAATAATTAGAGGAGAAACTTGAAGCAAGGGTTTATTCCAACCGAGGCGGCAGGGACCCTGAATTGCTTGGATTGCTTTTGCATGTACATGGTGTTGTTACAGGGACGCGTCATCCTGCTACATTTGCTGCAGATCCCATACGTGGGCTGGAGAAGCATCTTACTTGGACTCATTTCTGTTGTTTAAATTAGAGACAACGTTTACCTACCTGGCAGGAACACAAAAAGCATTAATTTGGGGGAGAGAAAGGGAGAGGGAAGAGAAATGCCCACACAGCTTTATATAGATAAGAATAAAAGGTGTATTCATAGTTTACCCCTCGTTACAAAAGACTAGGTTTGTTTTAAGCCTACAAAGAAAATTGTTGGGTAAGAAGACTGACTAAAGCTTTTTTTTTTTTTTTTTTAAATACAGCGCTGTGGTTCTGGATGGAAAAATTTATGCCACTGGTGGGATCGTTAGCAGCGAAGGACCTGCCCTGGGAAACATGGAAGCCTACGACCCTAAAACAAATACGTGGACACTTCTACCAAATATGCCCTGCCCTGTTTTTCGACATGGCTGCGTAGTAATCAAGAAGTACATTCAGAGCGGCTGACGTTGCCCGGGAGTTGGACAGAGAACTGTTTGTACCTGTTGAAAGCAGGCAAGAAGAATACTACTACTTAAAAAACAAAAGCAGCAAAGCCAGCCAGTGAACATATTGCTCTAAAGTCTTGAATAGTGTCTACATTGAATGTAGAAAAATCATCCTCACCTTTTGGTGAACAAGGAGCAGAGAGCTCCGTGCTATGTAAGATATTGTAACTTAATAATACAAGGGTGTCACTAGATGTTATAGTGGCACTTGTTCTGGACGTCGGCTTTTGGTCAACCCAGGTGCAATAGAATTTCACATATTTTTTAAGCTGGGGAAGAGAGGAAAACAAAAAAATAATCTGCATTTTACTTTAGAGCTCAAGCTTGATTCTTGAAATAACCATGCAGATTAGTTTTACTATTACACTTTAGGCATCAATCTATTTGAAAGGTCAAAGTGTCCTTACCACTTTGATTCCTACATTTGTTTTTAACAAATACATGCTTTTCAATACCAATGACTGAGGGAAATCTTGTGTGACAGATGGCTTACGTTGATGTCAGTCTTCCATCAGATGAAACGCATCTTTCGGTTCTCTAGAGCAGAGCCCAGAGGGGGTGAGGTGGGGACTGAGCAGAAGAGGAATAGCCATTGGTAATAAAGTCCATGTAAAATGATGAAAAAAAAAAAAAAAAGGTCTGTTGGGCTGGATGAGTTTCTGCTCCCGGTGGTACTCGGGGGGACACGTGTGGCCGTGCCCACGGGGCGGGCGGGGGCTTCGGAACTTTTTCCTCCCGGTTTCTGCTGACGAGCGAACTCGGCAGTGCTCAATTCCCGTAAGGCAAGATGAAAACGGTTTCGATTCCAGAGGCGTTCTCCTGGGAAACCCGCTCTTCGCTTCTGATTGGGATCCCATTAGAACACACGGTGTAGCGTGGGATTTCCACGTTTTCATCAAACGGAGAAGATGCCTCCTGTTGTGGCTACGCGCTCAGTTTTGGCTCTCAACCAAAATTCCTTACGTTGGGATATACGCCACTATCTTTTATGTAAAGTCTGAGAAGTTTTTTATTTTATTTTTCAAGTTTCCCCCTAGGTGCGGAAACCTTATACTTCTCTTATTTACAGATTTTAAACACACGAGTTTAAATCCCATGGTAGAAAAATGCATAGACTTAAGCCCAGTATAAGAGACTTCAAATGATTACTATGTAGAGTTGTAAGTATATGCACAGCACAGGGGTTATATTTTTATATATATTAAAATATTGTCTATCCAGAGAGCATTGTGATGTGGAAATTCTTTATAAATTTATACATAAAAGGATCAAATGGGAGATGGACCGGGTACCATAGAGGGGGCAGGGGAAAGAATCTTAAAATTCACAAATAGGAAGCAACCCCAAGCTAAGGATTGTCTGATTGCTTTCCAAGTAGAAGGAAAAAAGTTGCCATACTTGCCTTTGCAGACTCAAATCCCAAATGCCGTGCCGGCAATTCAAGAAGGAGGGTCCTATACAGGGCGCGGGTGAGATCTTACAGTCAATATCTAGCTGAATTTCATACCAAATATGCTAGCCTTTTTATACGGAGGGAGGTCTGCCTACAGCTTTGGGGAAATCAATGCAGATGGTTAGCTAATCATCTTATTTTATTAATAATCGTTTATAAAATAAAAGAAAAAAAATGAAATTTGTATCTTGCAGTATTTAAAGAAAAAGTGCTCAAGTCAGCGGAGTCAAGCTATAGGGTGACTCAAGTCTCTCATTTTGACAGTGAGGTTCCAGCCTTTGTTATGCAGTTGTTTTATTTATTCTTTAAAGAAAAAAAAATAATAAGCACAACAAAATTATATACGAGTATGTCATTTAAAGTATTTATGTCAAACAGGGTGCAAGTGTGAACCTAAAGATTGGAGCACAAGTTTCTAACTGCCTGGGGCAGGACTAATTTTAGTGTTGGTGTGTGTCTACCTCCAAAGGAGGTGCTACCTGTCAACAAGACCTAAACACATTCAACATTTCCAATTTAGCTTATTTCTTCATTTCTCACACTGGAACAAACTGGCTATTTCTGTGAATAATATTAAAAACAGGGTTATCTGTAATGGTATTGTATATAGTTTATGTTTACTGTTAAGTTCTTGTTATATTATAATAAATATATTTATAGATCTAGATTCAGCATCCAGATTGGATTAATTTTGTCACGACTGAACACGAAACCACACTGCATGAACGGTGACTCCAGGTTTCATCCCAGCCGTGGGTGAAAACGCATCCATTCCGTCCAGCTAGCTTCTCTTGCAAATCCAAAAATGGATTGCTAATATTTAAATGCTCAGTAGCTTCCAATGTACTTCCATTCTCCTTTCTGAAAAAATTCTTAGAAGTGATTTTGGATTTTATTCAGCAAGACTGTTTCTTCATCTATTTTCTCAAACTTAGTAAAGAACAAAAGGGCTCAAGATGAGTTTTGGAAACTATCTTGAAAAAAACACTGATACACAGCTTTGGTTGGTTGGTTTGGTTTACATGAAAGTTAGGATTGGTACTGCACTGCTGCTGCGGTGTTTAAAAGATGAAAGCCACTTTCGCCCTGTGGTCAGAAGTCCTTCATATGCAGAGCAGGAGCTCTGTAGCTCACGGGATGCATCTTTCAGAGAACACTTAAGCGCAACCGTTCATGGTTTCTTTGATGTTTCATTAGGGCGTCATCTGGTAGTTGTAAAACTGGATATGGAACAAAGAGGAGCCAAATACAACTAGTCTCAAATACCACCGCAGTGGAACATTTCAGCTGGATCTTAGGACATAATATCTGTTCTACACATTAACAGCAAGAATCTAACATACACTGTAGTTGTCTCTGGTTTTTGGAGTACATCTATGCAAGTATTTAAACAGGTTTTAAACATTTTAGTTTAGGCTTAGTGGCTCAGGTTGAACAGCCGGTGAAGATTACTAAAAGCCTTGCAATTCAGTATTACACAACCGTGCTGCAGTAATCCAGACCAACTGGAATGACTTGCCAGCCTTTCCATCAGCACCCTGCAAAGATCTCTTACTCAGCACTAGTCAATAATACTTGGTAGGATGAACAAGACACAGGCTATTTGCTTTACTTGTATGTGGAAATTATTTTAGTTCCCCTCTGGGAAGCTGGCTGAGCGCTTTTGCCAAATGAATCATGTGCACATATCTGCTCAGAGACTTTGCTTCTTAAAAAGCTTTAAGAAATTCAGGGGACAGGCTGGCTCAGCAGCCTGATAATGATAAAAACTCTTTTGTTCGCTGGTTTGACTCTCCCCTGGCTCACCTGGGAAGGCGAGTGATCTCGAAATGGGGCTGTTCGCTGCGTTCAGGTAATCGCCTACCCCTGACAATTTACACGAGTCGTCCGCCTTTCTCCCCTGGTTTCATCTAGCGGCAAACACTGTACTAATAAAGCCTCAGCAACCCCGTCTTTTAATTAACTGCAGCTAGGTGTTAAGGCTGAGCTTAGCACAGTGCAATTGGAGCAAGCTAATTAGAGCGTTCGTTACACTTGAGGTTGCCCTTGGTCGAGTCCAGACAAACCCAACGCCAGCACGAGCACCCACTTTCTGCAGCCGCGGGGATTAGCTGGGAGAGGCGCCGCAGCCTGCCCTTCTGCCTGGCTCGACGAGTGCCGTTATGTTTAATCAGCAGAGGCCGCAAAGGCACAAACTGCTTCAAGTACTTACCCACCCGCCCGGCGTCTCGTGAAGAATTGCTCTGAAAAAAATGGAACCGATCCCAAAGCTTTTTTCCGCTGTCTTGAATGCAAGGGCAAGGTCTCAGAACCACACTGCCTCCCCATCACCAACTGAAAAGGGCGACTAATAATATAATATAATATAATATAATATAATATAATATAATAGGGATAAACCCAAAGAGCAGCTGCAGTCAAGTCCTGGCAGGCTGCGACCCGCGCCAGGTCCCTAGGAAGACACTGACTCTGTATCCACTTTTACAACTTGTCACGCTACTACAAGCTTTTTAAATTGGATGAGACCCTGAAGCTCACCCCTTAATGCCTTCTTTCCCATTTCAAGTCGGCTCAAACACAGGAGCTGAAACATGCTTTCGGCTGAAGTAGAGATGCCAGCACGTGGGGAAAGGCAGCAGTAAGTTCCCGTCATCGGCGAGTGTGCTGGGTTGATAACTTAAGACTGCAGGAAAAGCCAGAAAGAAAATGGTCTGGAGGGAAGCAGATGGATGTGTCTCAGGCACAGCGCTTCCATCACTCATTACATTAAGCTGGACAGCGATACCAGAACCGAAACGCCATTTTTTCTTCCGAAAAGCCAATCTGTTTGAGGCACGATTAAACACTCGCTGAGGTTAGAATCCATGAAAGCCAGAGCTGCCATCGCGGGCTCCTGAGCCGAGCTGCGCAAGCACGACAAGCAGAGCAGCGCCGTCTCCAGCTGCTGGGGACGGGAAAGAAAAAAGAAAGCGGCAGACTGCCTTGAAAAACGACTCTCCCTGTGCTAGTCACCGGTGTTTTTTCTTTTGATAACACACACTACTTTTAGTAATTCCTGTTTAGTTAGTGGATTTCGTACAGAGTAACAAACTCCAATTTTCTTTATCTAAACAAATTCTACTTCAGTCGGTAGCAGCTTTACACACAGAATTAAATGTTTTGGCTCAGTTACTACCTGGGCGAAGGAAGCTCCAGTGCTGTCATCACGCCAAATCTGCCTCTGAATTTTTCATTAGCGGTGGTCTATACAATGAAGGTTTGAAAGGCTGCCTGCTGGTTTTAATTTCATGATCTGTTATTTTTGAACAGCATTCTCTTTTCCTTCGGAGTTCATATCCCAGATCTTACACAGCAAGACTCATACTGGCAACGGTATCAAACTCTTTCACAACCTGTCCAGAGAACAGCGTTCGTAACCCAGGTTTTTTAATAGCCTGACAGGCAACTTCAGCATGTAGCTTGTAAGCAAATTAATAGAGAACTAGAAACTGTGATGACAGCCGGGG